ACTCTGTAGATAGATACGTGTAGTCGGCCAATACAGGGCAGTATGAATCGCTCAGTAAAAGAGTAGAATTCGTTTCCATTACCTGTACCGAAATGCCTTGCGATGTATGTTTCCCTTTTCAATTAGCATGCAATCCGCTCGTGTTTTTCGGTTCTCCTCGAATTTCCCTCAGATTCCTGTTTCAGGCGAACTACATACCCCCCGCTCGTCGACATCGGCATTATATAGTAGGATAAGGTTCAGTCAAATTGCTGGAGCCTTTACACTACCAAATTACAGAGTTTTAGTGATAGGGACATTGATGACGGGTGACAGGATCTTATCAATTGATAAGAAAGGATAAGGGGCCATTATCATTACCTCTCTTATCACTATACCCCAAGTATCAAAGGCTCAGTGTGCATACTTTTCCTTTAGCCATCACTTCCCTGATTGCCCTAGAAAATGAACTCATCCTACTATATAATGCCGATGTCGACGAGCGGGGGTATGTAGTTCGCCTGAAACAGGAATCTGAGGGAAATTCGAGGAGAACCGAAAAACACGAGCGGATTGCATGCTAATTGAAAAGGGAAACATACATCGCAAGGCATTTCGGTACAGGTAATGGAAACGAATTCTACTCTTTTACTGAGCGATTCATACTGCCCTGTATTGGCCGACTACACATTGTATCTATCTACAGAGTTATGCAGTTACGCAGCGCACTACCGAAAAAGTTCCGCTAAAATTATGGAGCCGCCTGGCGAAGCCAGGCCAGCTCGGCGAAGCCGAGCTCAAGAGAAGGAGGAGAGCACGGCGTCAGCCGTGCGATCCGACTGGTAAACAGCATATAGCAGGAAATTGTCGAAATTGAATAATCTCCTATGAGAAACCTCTGTAGACCACTGTTTCTGAAAACATGTTTCCATTATTCGCTATGCAATGAGCGTGGATTGGAGAGCAGCCAAGGTGGCCTTGTCCACCTTGATGTTATTCTGAGACTACCACAGGCGGTGGGGATTTCCTCCTCATACGCCCTCTTGTTCGCAAAGATGAGGTTGTATCTACATTATAAATAAGTAAAATGACGCACATCTGTCCTAGGCCACACGTCGGTTGATGGTAAAGGGAGAAGGTGATTACGACCAGCTGTAACTTCCTCAGCTTGTAGGAAGAAGTAGCGGAAATGGTTAAGTAATTCATATTTTTGTCACATATATGCCATATCATGTCTTCGCACGAATATTCGCTGCATCTTGAAGTGTTTATGCGTATCGTTTCTTGTTGCAAGCACCTGTCTATACTTTTTTCTCCTGTTAACACGTGTTTGCACCTTGTCGATGGCTTCGCTTTTCCTGCATTTTTGTCTCCTCTAATCTCCTCATTTTCGACTAGATGCTAAAAAAACTTGGAAGGCTCCATCATGCGGTAGTGGAGGATTCTACAGAATGGAACTCATCAGAAAAAAGTTTCGTTTCACGGACACTTTTTTTTGGTGATCGACGTTCTAGTCCATTCACTTGGCTGACCGCTCTCCCTGTCAAAAGACAATTCGAAGGTTACTGTAATAATCCACGAGACAGCGTTAAGATAATGACGTTCCAGCTACATTCTCGGAAGAGCAGTTATTGATCCTATTCAGGTGGCAATTTGTCGCAGTGTGGGGTAGGTCGGCTGCTCATATCATTTATCATATTCCAGCGCTTGAATTAGAGATATTCGTGAGAACACAGACACTTGAAAGGGTCCTGCTTGCTTGATTTAGTTTCGTTTCTGTGTACCCCTTTGCCAAAAAATTACAAATTGAGCTCGTGCATGAAGCTCATCTCTGCCTTGAACGCCGCAAATTTTTAGTCCGAAAGAATGCTTCTTTTGATTCCATGACCTTGAATTGTGAAATGTTCTATAAATACCTAGTTTTAGAGTATTGCAGCGAATGATGGGGCGTGTGAAGGAGATCGGTTCGGCTGGCCCCATCCCGTTTTTTTTTCTGCAAGCGAGAAGACTATCGTTCGGTCCTTTTTTATCAGTTGTTGTGTAACAAATCGTTCGTAACAGTCATTTTCCATCAATTATTGTCGATCCGACAACTGCTGGGGAACTGGCTGGCGGCGGGCCACACTCACCATCACATCATCCAAACAGACTGTATCTCCTAAAATCTCTAATAGTGGGAAAACTGTTTGGCCGACGTTCCGGCTAATTCGCCCTTTTCGAACCCTGTGAGCATATCGATACTTTCCATTTACAGCTGTCATGTTTATGGTATTTACCCTCCTTGGCCAGTTACACATGCAGTGCCTAGCAAGATCAGTTTAGCCAATGAAGTACTATTGGTGAACACACCATAGGGTACATCAGCCAGTTGATTAGAAACTCTCTGACTGAAGTTATGTCATGAAAAACTGTATAATCTGCTATAATGAAAAACTTAGAGAGTGCTCACAAAAAGGGGTACTTTACCAGCTTTAGTGTTTAGCATGTAGAACGCTGTACATCGGAGAAGTGTTGAGGGAGTGTGAGAGTGTTGAGCGTACGTGTTAGGGAAGATCTAGCGAGTGAAAGGCAAGAGAGCTTAGTTGCGCGCTTGGGAAGCATAGAAGGGAAGAACACCAAGATTATGATTTTGATGTAAAAAGTGCGATGCTGACTTACGAAGATAACATCGGCGCCAGAAAGACGTGTAAGCTTTCTGGATAAAGCACTTTAATCCTAGCATGAACAATAGGAACGAATACATGCCGATAACCTCTGATTTCTTGCCTACATCCCACTATGTGAGCTCTGATATCTTATCATAATGCCCATATCGCAATCATTGCAATAGCGGAGGTCTTCACTCACTCCATTACATCTCCGGTTGGGTGAGCGAATTGCCATGGTGGAACTGAGGTAAGGCGCTTCTTTGCTAATAGAACCGCTCTGATTGGTGTTCATCAGAGGAGGTGTAACTGGTCAAGGAGAGTAAACACGTAAAGCATAAGTTTCGTTGAGCAAGCTTCATGGAAGGTATCATGCGGTGCTTACACGCTTTGAAAAAGGCGAATTGGCCGAAACGTCGGCCTAATGAATTTATCCACCCTAACAACCTGGTCTGGCATAAAAGAAACAGAACAGCTCTTCTAATAGTTTCATAAAGAGTTATTAGAATTAGTTTCATGTTATCTGAAAATCGGCGCTTTGTTTTACGTCATTAATTGATTTTGATGGAATAGTCGAATAATGGCAATTGATCAGAAATGTTCGAAAATCAATTAGAAGGTAAGAGTGCGCGAAAAAAAAAAACAAAAGAAGTTGTTGCTATGTCTAGAAACTTTTGCGCGCGTTGTCGCATACGTCCTGCGATTATGCAGATAAATGGGACTTTTGCTCCAGAAGATCGGGTGTAGTTCATCTTGAGCTCTGGTTGTATGCTCCTATGGCACAATTCCCCTTTACTGCCCCGCTCTTCGAAACACCGGTCCGATAGCAATTGGAATTTTTCCTTGTTGGGAGAATTGTCTAAAATTTTGTTCCCGCAGGAGAGTGACTTGACTAGCTTTCGCATAGGCAGCCGGTGCCGAAAACACGTTTGGCTCTGACGCACATGGGGTGGTATCAGGCTCAATCGTTCTGAACGGTTGTGATCCTCATGCTGGGGGATCAAACTACTCCAAAAAAACAGAGTTCAGGACAAATTAATCCAAAATATGACCTGAGTTCCGCGAAACGCGGTTGCAGTGAAGGGTAAATAGTGCCGCTTCTATTGTTCGCTTGAACACTAGCTGTTTTTAGGTAGGCGAGAATCCGCTCACGTCGAACGATTGCATGGAGCGGTTGCACGACTGCACGTCTTCAGAAGAAATAGCTGTGCGCTCTAGCATAATGCAGGACGCTAAAGAGACGAAGAATAATACTTACATTCATGAGGTGGGATTGTCACAGTTATATGTTGTATTATAAATTAATCCTGGAGGTCGAATTGTCGGTACGAAATAAGTGAAATGCCCACATCTGAATGGAAAATTGAATCCGTGTTTGGCGTCCTCCCGAGGAACTTGCTTCCCTTTATGACTCGAGGAACTAGCTGCCCTGTATGCGACAGTCCCATGGAATCTTTAAAGGTGTATGGCCCGATAATTCGGATCTAGAGGGAAAATGGCGAAAAAACGAAGTGAACTTCATGACTCAAAAAACAATTTCGAACGAGTCTTCCGTTGGTACTCTGCTAATAACCGCTACGGTAGGTAGCGGTTATTCACACTCACATATCTCACAGCAGCCGCGGTGCTGCATGGATATGTGTGTACTCACATATCCACGCAGCACCGCGGCTGCTTCATGTCAATCCCTTCGCTTCATATTTTACTTCGCAAATGAAGCAATACATCAGGTACGGTCGTCCATTTGTGGGCGGGCGGGCGCGGTGGGCGTTCGGGTCGGTATGTTGCAGCTTGATAGGGCCTTATAAGGGTACCTTCTTTGAAAAGGCGCTACGCAGTTTCTGCTTAGGGGGGGGGGGCGGAATTCCGTCCTACCAGGCTTATCGATCCTACTCGCCGTAAGGACTTACCATGCCTTTTGCCTTTAAACCAAGTTTACGGAGGGAAAAGTTTCCACCCTTTTTTGATGAGGCAGTTACCCGATATTCAAGTTTTATTATATTTTAAAATTTTGTTGTCCCGGAGCCTCATTGCAATCTGAATGTTAATAAAAGAGGCGTGAAAATTTTATTGCAAAAGACTCAAAAGATTCAAAAGAATCCAAAAGCTTTCGCAAAAATTTTTATTGTTCATACTCCTTTGGATATTTCGGTGCCTAGCACCTACTCTAGAGACAAAGAGACCGCTCTTCAAACGATTAGATGAACATCGCAGGGCCCTACACAATCCAGCTTCATATCCGGATAACAGTCTCTCAAAGCACCGCACCAAAATGCATGCACACGAAAGTCCTCCCGCACTTACCATTACAGTATTACACCGCTCCATAGAAAATCCGGTGGAAAGAAAGTTATTGGAAGCACTGGAAATAAGAAGGCTTTCCCCAGAAATGAATAGTAAGGACGAGCTACGTGACGCGCTGCAGTTGATTCACTGACTACGTGATAATGGTGGAGCGGTCAGTGATATCATATGCAGAAGCGCTCACTAGGCATCCTCACTATTTAAGGAGGGTGACGGGTAGGGTCACAGTCAACACTAGACGACGCGGTTTTCACGAGGAGCGGCGGCGGCAGATATCGGAGCAGCAGACTAGTTTAGACCAGATCGGAGGTACCAGTCAAGGCAAGGTTCACGATTAGGTTGGAAGTGGCTAACTGTAGTATTTCAGAAGGTGCTAGGCACCGGAATATCCGAAGAATGAGGAGTACCGATCAAAATATGGATTGAACTGCGAGCAGCCAGTAGAGATTGAATAGTTCCGTCCTCGTTAACTTATTTGTTGTGTTACTGAGTCATAAACTCTTACCTCCTCTTTTCGTAACTCACAAAAAAGACGGGTGCACTTCCAGACTCCTTGCTAACCTGAGACCTCGAATTTGATGGATTCTGAGTTGATTTGCAGGTGAAGCAGAACCAGATCAGTTGAACTCTTTTGTTACGATAAAATAAGTCGTAGTCAAATGTGGTATTCAGCAATGGCTCCAAACTTACGCCTGTGACTGTTTCAGGTTGACGATGATGACGAGCCGTTCTACGATGCTGAAGATGCCTTCTCATCTCACAAAGCATCGTATGAGCGCATTCTGCCAACAACGGATGGCAGAGACTCTGCTGACTCTTTGCCGGTCAACTGCTACCACCGAAGGGGTGCCGCTAGTTGCACCAGTGAGGAATTCTTCGAGGTCTCTTCGGTGATACCTACTGTTCATCGGGAGAAAAGCTTCAGCTGTGGTAGTCTGATGGATGATGGAATATCGGATCTGCATTTTGGACGACCAATCGGCTCAGCTCTTGAGCTCCGGTTTTGTAGTCGATTGACCTACAGTCTAGCGGATGATCAGGTTGAAGAACAGGAATGCTCTAGGGGAACGTTCAGAGAGAAAATGGTGTTGGATTTGAAACAAGGAAGCCACTGCATAACTCCTCTCTGGTTAAAAGGCAGAAAAACCGTGCGTGATTCATCGATTCCTACATGGAGAGGGTTCAGGAAGGGGATGTTCGCAAGATCTACCCAAAATACTATTTGCCGGCCGAAAACAGTGGAACAGCGTCAACTGAGCGCCTGTAAGTTTTTTGAATATTTTTTCATGTTTTCATCCTAGATTTTGACGGTGAAAACTTCATTTTCTACACCTGGGGTATTTCACGATTCAACGAAAAGTCGTGCGACACTTCCAGCGAGTTGTTCTTGAAAAAACAAAACCCATTCCAAACGTTACGTGGCTTTGTAGAAGCTTTCCGAGCTCAAGAATCCTCACGAGTTGAGGCACTTTTCCAGCTATTCTGTATTAGTTGCTGTAGGGCGATCTTGTCGTGGTGAAGGGAGGATCCTGATCTCCTGCGTTGTCATCGAAAAGGATGTTCTTCTGCTATAACGCAGGGTTCCCATCGTATCAGCGTTCAGATGCTGGAAATATTTTATTCGTTTTATTCAGAGAAAGCTACGGTCTTGATCGGTCGACGGAAAGGAACGATGACCGATTGACCGAGACCCTGGAGGCGAACAGAACCAATTTGGGAACATCTCTAGGCTGCACCCATGTGACAACTACTAGGCTTCTGCGTACTCTCAGCTATTGGGAACAATTTCTGTGATGAACACCATATCAAATGCCCCTGCCTGTCAAGGCAAATGGAGTGGTTGTGGGTGACAATCAGAGTCCTCTTTAACGCTGGAAGGATTTTGGCAGGCATATGGTTGGTAACGGCAGCTAAGTGTCTTACGTGAATGTTATGCCTTTGCGAGTAGGCAGCAGCAGAATATTTATTGGAAGACAGTAGAATAACAGCTAACAAAATGACCCGTTTATATACTGCTCTGCCTGGCCAAAGTTTCCAGTCAAACCAGGCAGATCTGTCACACCACAAGATCTAATACCTACATCCATTAGATCACGGTACCCAACACCTCCCCCCTAAGATTGACTGCTGCCGTACGATTTGGCGTACGGGTAAATGTGAAGATATTGTGGAGGGCGACGAGTGCGGATTGATCGTGGTCTGGAGGCAGCAGCGGCAATAGGCACTGTAGTAGTTCTCGTTGTTGTGGGAGCAGCAACCATTGAAGATTGAGACGTTGTAGAGGTCGTCGTCGATGATGAAGGCGATGTGGCGTTGAATGGTAAGTCGAAGGCGCTCATCAGCTCTTGTGTAGCGTCAGGCGTTGCACGTGGGAGGAGCTGGTTGACGTGGCTTCTCCAGGTGAATCCATCAACTTGAACATCTCGACCACGTCGGCACAGAATCCGTCCTTGAGTCCACCTGTTGTCCGGATCGATAGTCACTAACATACACCATATCATCCGATTGGAACGTCCTGGGTTTGGCCCTGTCGGCGATTGCACTGTTTTTCCATCTTTGTGTCACGACGCGTTCTTGCTTGTTGTCCGGCTTCAGCAGATCCAGTGTGTTGCGAAGGCGTCTTCCGAGAAAGTTCTCTGCGGGACACCTTCCGTTGGGCGAAGCGGTAGATGGCGTATTCCGATATGCGAAGAGGAATGTTTGTAGAG